AATTGCTTTACCTCGGGTGTACTGGTGTTGCCTGGTGACTGTAATTGATCAGCAATCCTAATCCAAGTTATGCTGTCGCGAATCTATTGGCATATAATATGTGCTACGGCGTAGCCAAAGCGCGGTTACCGTAGCTACGAAATTTACGACGCTTTCATAGGCGCACGTAAACATTTTGTAAAAACGCTATCCATGTTGAAAAGGTTTACTTAATGTTATAAAGTTATGTAGACTACTGTTCATGTGCTTCAATAGCTTTAAATCGTTCGTACGATTCTTTCATGAATAATTCATTCTCCCATAAGCTTATGTGAAAGCTCATCGGAGTTGTATGCGGCATTAAATCCCCGTATTTATCAAAGCTACTTGCAACTCTTTTACATTATTGTGCTGACTATCTAACAACGTAACAGTGAATAACATGAATGTTTAGCTCCGGTTTTATATAAAATGAATACACATTCTTTCTAGTAAATAAAAAAGACGCATTTTTGCATAAAGGCGAAAAAACAATGTTGTTCTATTCTAATAAAACTAGATAATCAATACAAAAACACTAGATACAAAAGAATAAAATCAATATAGCTTTGAATTTTTTACACATTCCATGTTTCAACACAATTCACCCTAAAAATACACGAATTTTTAACTTTGATAACGAAGAAATATTAATAGCGTGAATTATGAAGACTGTTAAACAACAACTAACTGTCAAAATCTTATAAATACACTTTTTACTAAACATACTTTTTAAGTTATTTTTATCGATAAATAAGTTGGAAGTTTGGAGAGTTATTTATGGCTGTATTAAATTTTATAGCCGAAAAGTTTTAGCAATAAAATAATATTTCGTTGTAAGTAAAATTGATAGTGAACACCTGTATGTCAGGGCAAAGACTTAAATACTAACAGTATTTCTTGGTAAATATTATTATTTTCAGAAACATATTCTCCTTTGTACTGATTGCCTCACCTCTGCCTCACTTGCCCCCAAAATTTGTTTTCGACCTATTTTCGCCTTGGGATAGTCAGATATAAGTTTAATACCTTTACAATAAGTGCCAGTTCTTTAAAAAGTTTCCTTTATTTTTTCCTCTACCTGACATTAAGATAATATGAATTTTGTATTGTGTTTAGAGGTCTAGAGGGTTATTATTATTTTAGGTATTCTTTTTTCATGTACCTTATAATAAATAGTTCAGAAAAAGATTAACCAAAATGGACATTGCGAACGATTAAACTTGCCAACATAGCTTGTAAGTTGTACGAGTATGTCAATGCATTCAAAGAATCATGAAACATACTGTCTATAGTTTACGCGAGTAGTACACATTTAAATAAAACACTTCAACGGTTTAAAACGCGATATATTAGTTAAACTTATTTGAAAATGATTTTTAACTTCGGCCCGACGTTTCGGATGCTTTGCAGCAGCCGTGGTCACGGGGAGACTAAAGATGGAGGATGTCTCTAACGTCAAAGTAAAAAATTGCTACGCTTGCGCCTTCTGTTCCGTCGAAGTTGGTATTTGGCGAAACTGGCTGGTATGCTTTTTTTATTGGGATCCAGAGTTATCCTTCTTTAGACTCCCCGTGACCACGGCTGCTGCACAGCATCCGAAACGTCGGGCCGAAGTTAAAAATCATTTCCAAATAAGTTTAACTAATATATCGCGTTTTAAACCGTTAAAGCGTTTTATTTAAAAGTCATGAAACAGTTCTATTTTCGGCTATGAATGCCGAATAGTACATGGCCCTCTATAACTCTCAGTATGACGATGTCTGAATACATTGTCTATCCAATATGACCTGATCTAATATTTATTGGATTTGAATACATAATGTCATATTGTCACAGTCAATAAGGTTTGTTTAGTCGAAAGCGATTGATTCCAATGTTTTCAACGAAACATTGATACAATTTCGGGATATTACATTTTCTTTAAATCCTTAATAAAAAATATATAATTAATAACAAAAAAATTTAAACAACTCCTAATCTTTTGTAATTAATCTAAAGTAAGAAAAAAACTTAATTCACATTATGGGGAGTCAACATTAAATACACATAGATTATATAAAATATTTATCTGATATATAACACAAGAGAATTTGTTAAATATATATCAATCCATAATATTAAAAAAAAAAATAACTAAACGATATCTAAAGTGGATAAAACAAGGCTTGAAAATTCTGCAGAGTTTGCTTCAACATACAAAATTGATTATGCTGAAAAAATGGAAGCATGGCATATTATAATTTTAATGCAAAATATAAAACGTATTATAATAGTGTTTCAAATTGAAACCCTACGAATACTGTTAAGTACAATGTTTGAAGTAAAATAAGGAAATAGTATTAAGCGGGTCAACGTAAAATCTACTTTACAAACCTGATGAATAATTTTCCCCGTTTTTTTCCATCTCGGTGTTTCTTCTCTCCAATTATTGACAGTGCGATGTTTTATAGCCTTTCTGGATAAATGTTCAGCCTCAGTAGTTCCCGAGATAAGTGAGTTCAAACAAACAAACTATTTGGCTTTCTATTAAAATAAATAAGAAATATTTTAGTGTTTTGAATATCATGGTATATCTTTTGGAATACCTTTTTTTGAGTATTTTATTTCATGTGTTAAATTTAACATTTCTCGAAATAAACAAAAACTGGTTCGCTTCTCAACCGTTTAAAAGCCGTAAACTATTTTATCCTATTGAAATTTTAATTGGTTTCTCAATTGCGAATCATGTTTCATCAACTCTAAATATTTATATACACAGACAATCAATTTTAAACTTTAGTTCGAGCGCAATCTTCTTATTTGATAAAGTTCTTAGTTTTGATTATGCTTTATTAGTTTCGAGTTCGCAATCTTGTCATTGTAATGTTCATTACAATATCAGAGTAAAATATGAAAGAGCAATCTCGGCTGCAATATTGCAGCAAACTACCGACATAATGTGTTACGTAACCTATTAATTTAAACGCAATGCCTTGTACCTACAGTGGAGGCAAATATCTAGCTGACGTGAGATTTTACCGAGAGATCATTATAATAACGAATCTTATTAGATTTTAACTACATTAGACAGAGCCGTTTATTCGATGATAATTAGATATTTTGTGAGAAAAATATTTTTAGAAGAATCTTAATATTATCTTTAGACTTTACAAATGCTTTCTACTACTATATTCAGTTAATCATAAATATTTTAAAATCATATTATCTGCTTTCAGCCAAATTTGACATTTCTCGCACATAAATATTTGGCGTCTCACCAAAACTGTGACATCGTGATAGCTTGGTAGTAATCAAGCATAAATAATGAACTAGAGATCGCAGACTATTCTACTATGCATCGTGTATAGCATCAAATTAGAATAATTATCACTCTAATAAGCGTCATCGTGTGTGTTATTATTATTTGTTAAATCTCCACCAGAGAACCATACCGAATATAATATTTAGATCATATAAATAGTATTATAAATGATTCGAATATAACGACACTTAAAAACTGTGCTATGTGATTCAATTGCAAAAGCGTACGTTCTACGAAAGCTGTCAGCTCACTTTAATAGATCCGTTCCACTGCCTTTTTATTTAAAAATCGTTTTTAATGATCATTTAAGTGTAATGTAGAGATGGCACGAACTGAAAATAAAGGAAAAAACAAGGCCGCAATCAATTAAACACAGTTAACAGGAAGCAACTGAAAATCTTAAATAATTACTATAATACGAGATTTAAGTTATTTTTTGTTGAAGTGATACAAAGTAGACAATGTAAGATGCAGGGTACCATTGAACAGTTAGATATTTAGTATTTGCTACATCGATACTACAAAAAAAACAAATAGCAAAACTCAAAGCTGGTTAACGTCTAACGAGAGCTGTTGAAATAGAACAAAAACGTACATATACGACTAAATATTACTTGCTTGTGTATTTCTATAAGATTGTTTCTTAATCAATTTATCGTGTGAGTTTCCTTAAGTTGGCGTTCATATATCAAATTCCCATTCCCTGGAATACGGTCTAAGGTAGAAGTTAGATTATGATTTGATTACCTGTCTATATGAAATTACGCCTCAAATTCTTACAAGTGGGGATCCATGCATTAAATTAAAGTTTCGTTTTGACAACACTGTTTATTTAAAAATCACATAAATACATATTCACATATTGGCACATTTAAAAGTCAACTATCATATTATAATGTAAATAAATGAGCTATAAAATTTCAAAATAAAAATAAAATCTTTTAAAATCACGTTTAAAGTTATAAATACACGTTATGAGTTTTTCAATATCGTATTATGGATAACACATCACAGCAATATTCGGTATTAAAATTTTAATATTTCGAGATGTTAATAAAAAACCTTTCTCGCACAGAACGCCATATAAGAATACCAATAAAGTGTAATATTCAAGTCCCCTTCCACCAGAACGACAATAAGATAGACCTATTTTCCTTCTGTTAAGGATCATTATCTTATATTTAATAGTTCTCAGATAGAGAGCTACAGAACAAACTATATTATATACCTGTTCTAAGATAATACTCATTCCGTAAAACTACGAACGTCAAAAATCTTTACTTTGCATTTTTGGTGATTGAAAATAGATGACAAATTGACGAGAAACATTTTTTTCACTTACAGTTGAATTATTATAGGTTCTATTAGTGGGAGTGATCGACGTGGATTCTGTTTTCGATTTTGTATCGAAGGTATTTAATGTTAATAGCGTTCATGAAAGCTTATCATGTGAAAATTGTTGAAACCTAGTCTTTGTTTCAATACAGTTTACATTTAATTTTCAATTTATTGTCTGAACATGGGGTAGAAACATTCTAACTAGCATTCGGTGTCTGATTGCAATACGATGAATTTGAAACGCGTCTGACCATTTAGAAAAAAAACCTCATTTTCTACCTACAAAACGTTCACGTCTCGTAAAACACATTTAACCTACATACGATAATTGTTCACATTTTTAAAAATACGGAGGATATAACAGAAACCCCGAAAGGAACGTTAGAAGCGGTGCGCTCAAAAAGGGCGGTGCATTGCAATGCGCTCGAGGCTGTTGGCTGCAGGCCGCTACGTCTTGTGCGAGCACCCAGGCCATGCGACGGAGAAGGCTGCCGGCTGAAGCTGAACAGGATCGGCCCGAGTGGCCAACGCACGAGACGAATTCATCTCGAGCGCTAGAAAAAAACCGGTCATGTATTCCATCACAAAACAAATTTATTTAAAGGCAAATAGTTGATCGGACATCTGCCATGGCCATCCGTAGTAATTTATTCTGGGTAACAAAATCAGGACTCTATACTTAAAAGCATACCCACAATTTATACAGGTTGCCAGACCAGTATAAATTGTGAGTATTCGTAATTTTTGTATAAAATTTGCTACAACAAAAAGCAGTCATCCAGGTTATTACAGACATTACCTTGGATAACTTAAAAGCCCAAAACGTCTTGCTCTCGATCGGAGCAAACCTAGTTATAATTTATTTCGTTTAAAATGTTTGTACCACCTAAAATCATCAGTAAACTAACAACCATGTTATAATCCGTTCAAATTTACTGAATATACCCATTGTTCGACATAATTACTCTAAAGGGCCCTTTGCCATGATTACTTTAGGTAATTTAAACTGTCTCGCAACTGTGCTGTATTACGATTAGTTGTCTTAATTACTGTTATTAATATTATAATAATTAATAAATGCATAAGAATTTCATAATTATTATATATCCTTTTTACGTTATCTTAATAATTGTTACATGACAGTGCGATATTTCACAGAGAAAGAAGTTTAAATCTCATAGCTTTAGTTCCTTTTATCTTCGTATTATCCTAGTAGTTAGTGTTTAAGGCCATAAAAAAAGAATAGGAATTAAAAAAATGTATATAACATACTTGATTCCCCGTATCCTCCTTCTTCTTAGGCTTAACATTATGGTCTGTCGAAAGCTTTTGTTGGCAAAATCGAAAAACCGTTCCATTAAAAGAATGTCTTAATTATTTTGTAAATTTTACTTTAAGACAGTAAAATCATCCGTTTTGTACGTCGTCCACAGATAACTTTACTAATTAAAAATATTCGCATATATTCGTAATATTCATAAGAGGACAAATTAAAGTTCGATTTTATTGCAATGATTTTTTTAATATTACAGTATCTATATATAGTTATTTTTACTACTCAAAGCTGTCCACGGAGAAAATAAGTCACATACATTTTATTTAAATGTTATTGGGGTTTTAGCATTTTACTTTCCGCTAAACGCTTTCTTCTTTATCATTATAAAAAATTTCACCATGTTAGTAGCGTGTATATTATTAGAATTCTAGATGTATGTTGCGATCTTTCCTGGATAAACAGTACGTGTGTAATAAGTGGCTCATGTTCTGCTTTGGGGTATCAGAAAGATTTATGCGATATCCTAAATGAAATAGGCCATCCCACACCAGTGAAAACGGTTAGAAAGACAGACAAAGTAAATAAAAGGGGCGGTTACTGTGTAAATATAACAAGTATGTAATCTACTTTGTTATAGTCAACCACAACATTACCTTTACGACGGTTGCATGTTTCCTAGCACTGTGTTAAGTACGGAATGGTCTTAAATTCGATTCGCGGAAAACCGATTAATTGTTTTGATTAGACAAAGCATAGAAGTCTGATCAACCATAAATAAATTCGAGCAGAACGGACACAATAAATACTAGTAGTACTTGCCAGCAAAGCTCATAGTTCTTATTGAAATATGTGATGAGTTGCGCTCGCTCGGTTATGTCTCTCACGGCCATCTGAAGTTCATCCACGCAGCTGGACCATTCGGGTGACACGAGAGCCCAGCACGTTGGCTCCTTCAAGAAATCTAGGAAGAAATGATTTCAATAATACAAATAAAGTTGCGTCAAAAAAAGGTAACGCGTAATGGTGTGAGAAATTTTATTTTATTTGAAATTTAAATTTCATCAGAAGTATTTTGGATTTCATCTGTAGTGTAGGATAACTTCGTTTCGATTTCACTCGAATGTCAAAAGTCATAATAGCACAGCGCCCTTTTCCGATGTTAACTACTTTAATTTCAAACTCAAACGTTCCTTAAAGTAAATATCTATTTTTTTAAATATTTCATACATTATTACAGTACACTATCTTGCATTATTACAGTTTTAAAAGGCACTTTAATTGATTGAACCCGACGTGATTTTCCCGTGACCTTTGAATATTTGCGCTGGTAATAAATAATAGCATAGTCAATGTTAATACTACTCTTGTTACTCGTGTAATCAATTACCTTTTGCCACATGCTCTTCTTATCTAATAACAAGTAATCCGATAACTGTAAACGCTGTCTGTGTTTTACAATTTTTAAAGTTTTCTAGAGTCGCTGGAAAATTGAAATGAGAAAATTTTTGGGTATCGTTTTTGCAGCACACGCAACGGAAATCCTCAAACATGAATAACTATCCCCGTTTTTTCCACATTTCCCACTGATTCTTTGCACCTATTAATCATAGCGTGATGTTTTATAGCCTGAAGCCTTTCTCGATAAATGTTCTAATCAAGACAAAGACATTTTTTTTGATTGGGACAGTTCCTGTTATTGGCCCGTTAAAAGAAACAAACTCTTCAGCTTTATAATATACACATTTAGATTTAAAATATTATGACGAGGGCGAGACTTCAACCGGCAACCTCAGCAATAGTAGCTGCTCTTACCATTGTGCCACCACGACAAACAATGTCGTCAATTTTTGTTTTATTTAAATATATTTTTAATAGTTTACTGTTATCGTTTGCTATTATGTGAAACTCAATTTTAAACGATATAATTATGTGCACGTGCGAAAACAAAAACAATGAAAAATAGTAAAGCGTATATTCACAATTTTGGCTCGGCTTGAAAATTAGTCTCACCCTTCCTCAGAGCCGAGTCATTCGTGCAGAGGAATCTCATGAGAGCCCGGGCACCGCCGATCTGCTGCTGCACCAGCCTCTGGCCGTCCGTTGGAAGGCAGCGCTTGATCCAGGCGTCCATGCAACTCATTCCCGTATGGTAGCCCTATAAAGAAAATAAACTTTATTGTGCCTATATAATCATACCCTCTGACAAACACAATGATGACTTTGTGTCTTTAATGCATAAGATTGTATTAACTTCAAATTGTGTACTATATCTACGCTATATTCTTATCGGCTATAATAGCTTAAAGTCTAAACTTCGCGACTTTATACCACTAATATAATGATGCAGTTATCTGTATTGTATGCGAGTAGTAGAAATTGAAAGAAAATGAATACAAAATTGCGAAGTGTAATAGTTAATTTCTTAACAATATATTTACGGCCACTTTATATTATATTATACGTTTAGATTTCTGTCAACTAGTACAGTTTCTTAAAACATAACCACACGAAGACTTAGGCTTTGATTATAAAACGGAATCTAATCAATTCTCATCTTTAAAATTAGTGCAATGATTGAAGTGAAACATACATGTGTAGACTCAGATAAATATTAATTGGCTTATTGGCCCATTGACTAATAACCAACAGGGCGTGGGTCGATTCCCACCGGGTTCAATATATTACTAAAAATTTATTTCTATTTTTTCTGAAACATGTTCTCCTTTGTAATAATAAATGGTTAATAGAATTATTGAATTTCGTCCGATTTTAGACCGTATAGACGAGTGTAGTAGTGTTTCGGTTGCAGTCTGTCCGATGTGCAATATATGTGAATATCTAAAGCCAGTAAGTCGATAGGAAATCTTGTATATGTTACAGAACTGGGATATTTCTCTTTTAATCAAGTGAACCAAATGTTTGTCTGGTTTAGGATAGATAAAAGAGCTTTCTACGTACGCGCAATGTGCATCTAACTCCTTTCTTGTCCTCGGTAGACCGACAGGAGTCTTCGGAGTCATGTCTACGCATATCTTCAGCTCCTTCGTGTCACAGCTGTCTTCGTTAAGTTGCGCACCCCCGCCACCTAAACAAATGTAAACAGTGGTCTAGTGCGCATTGACTGTTCGTTGTTTGAAAATCTGCCGAAATATAGAAAGAACCTCTCAAATCTAAATGCAATTAGTTTTCAAATCATAAAAAAATGTAAAATTTAAAGTTTTATTTTGTAAAAACATTCCACTGGTGAAGTGACTTTTTTCAAACTTCGGTCGAGTAAATTCTAAAAATGCATGAGGTCCTCTCAAAAAAATTTATTTAATAACCGCTTCGAGAGATTTCTAAGGAAGTTTAAGACACCATACGTTTTATAGATATTTTAAAGAACGCGTTAACATGACCGTACTTGGGAAGCAAACTTTTTATGGTAAAACTTGCCACGTCTCTTCATGGATCGTTAGCATCAAGCATAATAAAAAAATATGCTTACTCCTTATAAAGTTTACCGAGAAAATCCGTAAAAAAATATAGTGTAATAAAAATTTAATGATTCGACATTCGCTTTGAATCCAGCATTTGCCAAAGGCCTCTGACAGATATCTCCAAAAGCGTTGTCAAAGCGGGAAGTCAAACGGGACCAACAAATTAATATGTTCACCAAACTGTCGTGACACGGCGACTATTGGTTTGGATTTGTAAATTTGAATGTAGTGTATTTCCTTTTCAACTGGAACAGTATGGGAAATCCGATACCATAGAAATTTGCAGGGAAACATTAAGCCTTTTTCTTAAAGAAGGTTGGCGTAAAATATTTTCGTTAAGTGTGAAATGTTTATAATAAGAAGTCATTTAGTGATTTTTGTTGTCCAGGTCGACTTAGATAAAGAAATATTTTTTGTACAGGAAGAGAAAAAAACAAAGCAGCAGAAATTAGTCAAATTAAATAAAATGAATTTCATACAATCTTGCCAAAGTACCTCTCAGCTGTATCGTTGTTACATACACGTGTAGTCTTTTATATCTTTGTGTCAAGATTGATTTTACAAAGAAGACAATGGTTCCTACGATAGTTTTACTGCATTATCTCCTTGGATATCTTGTTGGATTTTAACATACTGTTTCATAATTTTTTTTTTTTTGTAAACAAAGACACATTTTCAAAATTTTTACTCTATATTAATAAATTCTTTAATGTAATTGAACCTCAACTTAAGCAATGTATATACATTAAAGTACCCTAAACCTTAGAGGGTTAAGTCATTTTTAATTTAAGGCGTAACCCAATTGTAGTTGTAACTAAAACAAAGGACTAGGGGCTTATTTTCAGGAAATATTTTACTAATATAGAGAATATATCATGTAAATTCTTTAAATGTAATTGAACCTCAACTTTTTTGGTCGTTCCCCCCCTTCCGAGAGTTTTTTTTTTTTTTTTTTGTTTTTTTTTTTTGTTGGAAAAAAGAAGGGGGGGGTTATAAAAAAGGAAAAGATCCCCCGGGGCCCGGGGGGGGGGGGGGGGGGGGGGGTTTTAAGTTAAAATAATTTTTCAAATAAGTTTAACTAATATATCGCGTTTCAAATCGTTAAAGTGTTTTATTTAAATATCAATAATTGTTTTTTAGTATAACCAGGTGAAAAGTCCCTTTCTTTGTATTTCGAATCGGTCTAGAGCAATATTTTTTCTAAACAAAATATGTAACTCCCATAAAGTAAACTTTTTTCGCACTATGAGATATCCGTTATTGCCACTACGAAATCTGTGAAGGTTTGATTTATTATTGGTTCCCACGCGATATTGATGACTTTCCTGAATCATTTTTCATCGGCGCTTGTAAAATGAAAGGACGCAGTAACGCATTACTTTTCAGTAACAAGTGTTTATCGTAAAGGTTGTCAATGTAAGGTTTTCTTCCTGAGATTATGGCATTTATATAATAAACTAGATGCCTCAATTTCTATCATTTTCCTAACTTAAGCTAAAATATTAATATTTGTTACACATTAAGGTTTATTTTAAGATCTAAGATTATTTAATTTTACTTAACTTATGTGTTAATGAATTTTTTTTAATAATATTATTAATATAAGATTTTATTATAAACATACTCTCTAGACTGTTTTTATTCTCGTTAAAGTTTCTTTAAAAACTTAAACTCTCCGACGAAATAAAATTGCATTTTGAAATACGTCTTTGTTCTGTAAAAAGATAAATCTATCGGTCGGAAGTGCTGAAATTGCAGGAAACATTGCCAATTCACTGGCAAACCAATAGATTTTACCGGAAATCAAAGTTGTGTAAATCCTTTTGCGGTGTAATATTTTCTGCTAGGCTGGGGGCAGTTCTCAAGTGAGTGACTTTAGATTAACACCGGTTTAAGTGACAAAATGAAGTTTTTTTTTTACTTATACCGGCAAAAATAAAATTAAACAAACTTTTGCTAGAAACGACGTAAAAAAAAGTGTAAATCCGAGTTAAACACTCTTATCGTTTTATTAAATTATGTTATTACTTAATAAATCTATTCTGAGAGAAATTGGTTGCTAATACTTGTGTTAATTTTGTAACTAGTATGAATAACAATTTTACTACAGTTTAAGATATTAAATAATGTTAATTACTTAATCCCAAGTTAGACGTGTTGACTCGTTAAAAGTTACGAAACTTAAATTTAAACCATAAAAATGAGACTTACTCGCAATAAAAACAACGGCGGCGAAAATGTAGAACATTTTTCATAAAGTTTTTCACTTCCCAAGTGTATAAACTTATTCACATATTTCAATATTAAATTTGCACAATTCTAACTTTCCTTGGATGGCGATATAAAGTTCCGAGAGCACGTTGTACGTCTGTTCACGACGGTATTCAACGACAAACTGAAACTCGAAAGCTCGAACTCAATCGGATTCGTAAATCTGTTTATGATTTTCAATTTGAAATGGTTGAGAATAATCTCTCAGTAATATCTCTAACCAAGACTACAGGTAGATTTGAGTTACAGACAGATAGATTGTTACTTCGTAACAGAGGAGCGCAAATCATTTTTAAGACATTAAGATTTTCTGTTTGTTTCATACATTTATTATGTATACACTACTTTCTTTGATAGTAATATGTTATTATTACTAGTATGGACTATACTAGGCCATTTATATAATCTGCCATTTATTCTCTATACTAAGAATTCCGTACAAAATCAATCAGAAGCTTTCAAGAGTTTGTAAGTTGAAGTTTCACTCATAAGCTTCTAAAATGACTTAATTAAGTGTCATCTATCAATCTAGTAATCAGCTCATTAAATTTTCAATTCAAATTTTAAGACCTTTTATTTGAAAAGCATCTAACCGATTCGAAGTTAAGCTAGGAGAAAAGGCTTTATAGGATCGATAATTACGATCTATTTGGAGCCACAAGGTGTAGCTAGTGTGTGTACATGCGTTCATGATATTTAATCGTCGTTTGTTTAGCATTTTATTCTGGCACGCTATAATTATGTGTCTATATTATGAATATAGTATATATTTAATTTTTATTTAATCACTTTGCTAACAGCTATCCGTTAGTACCCACTTTTTGGATGTTTATATCGGGGGTATTGCACTTTCTGTCAAGACAACCCCACGCTTGCCGTCTTTTATTTTTTATCATGATAAAATCCAAAGAGATGAGATGGTGAAACTCTAACTACTTAACTTGTATTCTAAGTCTTTAACACTGGGTTTACTATAAATATTTAATAAATATTATTTATCTGTTATCGATTAGTGTACTTATTTCCCACCATTTTTATTTTAACCGGTTTCTATATATATAGGTGTATCTTTTTGGTTAAGAAACCATAACTCAAATGTAACAAACCCTTTGATTTAGTGCGATCATAAAGATACCGATTTGAAATTTAATTGAAGAGCAGGCATACAGACCTTTTTATATTGGTTATCCGTGTTACTTTTGTGAACTCTGATTGAATATTTCCACTACGTGATCAGAATTGTGCTTAAATTCTTCTGTATTCGCTCTTTATTAAAAAGGCCGTGTATAATTATGACACAAGAAATATTGTTGAATTAAACAAAAATATTGTTACAAGTTATGAAGTGCAATTGGCGACCTTATCGCTTAGAGATCATTTATCGATCTCTTCCAGGCAACCCTTGTTTGAAAATAAAAGAAGGTGCAATTCATTGAAACGTGCAAAGGATATTTATTTCCAATTGTAAAATTAAAAGTGGTCCAAATTGCGTCTGCGACAACGTTAAGGATCCTTCTGGGTCTCTTAACAGAGTCACAGACCCTTTACTTCTAACAAAACAATTCAGCCCTCTCCTCTACGTAATTTCAACGTTCACCATTTTGTCAACTCATGAAAATTTACTGCCGCTTATGCAAACAACTCCTCGTTTCGGACCGCGAAGTGCGATTTAATTGAAATATATTTCTGTAAAACACGTTTCGTTTGCGGTTCGAGCGTTGCCAAAAGGGAAATACACTCGTCTTTAAATTACATATAACTTAGTTTCACTTTGAACTTGCTTTCTAGAGGAAAGGGTTACTGACAATGTAAAGACATGTAAAGAGACAAAACCAGAAATTATATAGTCTGAAAAAGCTGAATTGTTTGTGCGTTGGTTGGGCAGTAATTGACCTATTATGAATATAAATAACTATTTTTTATGAAAGGGAAAGACAGACAAGCATACCCTAGCTATATAAAATGTAAACAAGCGTTGTCGACCTATTTTGGCATTAGATATTCGGACTCTTTGACGTTTTGAGGTGGTTAAACATTTTTACCTTTATGGAATAATGAATTAAAAAAAAATTACGATTCAAATTTTACATCTTTTGGAAAGCTTTTATCCTTCGTCAAAGCGATGCGTTGTAAACGAAACGTGTAATTTATTTTATACCATTAAAATTTAAGTAAATGTAGCAGTTGAATTTATTATTCACTCTGTACGGGCCGTAAATCGACACGAGAGAAAGGGATGTAAAAGCAAAAAATACAACTCGACAGAATTAAAACTTACAAACCGTTCCACTAATGTAGTGTTGTTTTCGTTAATCTTAAATACTGTCTATAGTTTACGCGAGTAGTACACACTTCGGCCCGACGCGGTTTCGAATTCTTTGCAGCAGCCGTGATCACGGGGAGACGTCGGGCCGAAATTAAAAATAACTTTCAAATAAGTTTAACTAATATATATCGCGTTTTAAACCGTTAAAGTGTTTTATTTAAATTGGTTATTCTTTAAAAATCTTTCACAATATGTTTGAGTTGTCTATCTAAGCGAATAAGTTACTTTGAAATATAGTTCGTTTTCAATCTTATTTTAAACTTATTAACTACTAGCTGTGCCTGCGACTTCGTCAACGTAGAATAGTTATTTTGGGTTTAAAAATGTGTTTTTGCAAACCGCCTGTTGAACTCTATAAATTAAAGTTATTATTACCCATCGTTCTTGCAAGTTAAAAGATAGACATATACTGTCGCGGATATTATTTTAGACAATTTCAAAAGGAATTCTTCTTTCACACATATTTTTTAGAGATGGATTAATTAACTATTAATTGCCTAGATTATAAGAGCAAACGCTAAGTGAATGATGATACATTCTAGCTGGTATTCATATACATTTTATATTTAACGTGACGAGAACGACAACAATACTTCCAAGACTTTTTAATAATTTATAAGTAAGAAATAATTTAAATGAACACCAAATTAAATATTATAACAACGTATGTACGTGAAAACCTTTAATAACCTTTGGTTCGATTAAGGATATCGTTTCTTTTAAGCCACATTTAATTTCTATCGAAAATATTTTGGCAAAATAATTCTGCTAATTCTCATAATCCTACTAATTCTACTAGTTCCATTAATTATAGGACCAAAAGGTCTCTTGAGTTTGGAGGAGAAATTTTAAAATTCTTTTTCGGTACGCTAGATGCCGATGACGCGCGGAAATATGATACCGCAATCGAAAATTGTAAAAAGAGTAAAACTGAGACTGAAACTCACTTAATGAAAGATAATATTCACGTCATAAAATCGAGTTTAAATACTTTTAATTCAACGGTGAGACGTCTAAATGATAATGAAATTAAAATTAATTCTCATATAAATACTTTGAACAAAATCCTTAATCAGGTTACTGATCAAAATGACATACTATTTCTTGTAACTAGAATAAATAGTCTCATAAATCTAATTGAAAGTTCTATTCTTACCATTTCTAATTTTTTAGATATATTAATGAATTCTATTTTATTTTCGAAGGTAAATGTGTTACATCCATTAGTTCCAAGTCCTTATAATTTATACAAGGAACTAATGTTACGAAATAATTTAATGAGTAAATATACCGATTTTCCAGTCCCTCTATCCTTAGAAAATATTCACACAATTATCGACGTATCAAAGTTAACATGTTACTATTTTAATTAAAAAATCATTTATATTTTGCAAAAACCATTAGTATACCCAGAAAGGTATTTTGTCTACAAAAATATACCATTACCGGTACCACATGACAATAATGCAAATACATTTTCTTTAATACAACCTACTTAGTCTTATATTGCCATAACTGAGGATAAACTCAACTATGTTTTACTTGAAAACTTAAACAAGTGCAAGTCTATAAATGACAACTCAGCTATTTGTCCAGTGATAAGTATATATACGCTAGCATTAATCACCCGTGTTGTGAAAGTAAGTTATTAACGGAAATTACTTAATCGTTACTTTCTGAATGTAATACTAAACTTTTTTATGGAAATATAGATATATGGCAAATGTTAAATAATAATAAATGGATATATGTTCAGTCAAAACCAGATAAGCTAATTGTAAAATGTGCAAATGATATTTCAGAACATTCAATTCTCGGTACAGGAATTGTACAACTAACAGATGACTGTAAAGGACATTGTAAAACTTATCAATTGACACCTTCCATTTCTCATAAATCCTACGTCCAATAAAGTCAATACTTGTTTTAAAATCTTGAACGCAATGGTAATTCAACATTTAGTAAAATTTCACTTCCTGCGAGAAAAAAAAAGACAAAGAATAACGTAATTTTACATTTCAATATTGCACGTTTTTATGAATACTTTCAAGGTTTATTTATAAATTCATGAAGTGATTGAGAAAATCGAAGAGGATTTCTCAAATACAAGTAAGGATTGTAGGAATTTCCTGAACGGAAATTAAGTTGGACTCAAGACGTCTTGGGTGATATTAGAAAAATAATATATATAAGTAGACAATACAAAATCAATCTAGTGTGTATTTGGTTGGTCGTCTCATCTAATAGTAACAATGTATGGCTGTCAATCCCTACTTAAGTATTTTAGCTTCTATCAACAGAACCATGAGGTTCCGCTTGTCGGTTCTCCTCTAATAACATTTGATTTAATTCGTTTTTCTTGATAAAAAGTAACCTAGTCTGCATTGCATTTAAAATATTGCGCTAACTTGTTTAAGGAGAAGATCTTTTGTTCTTTTTTGTTATTCTCATTTGTCTGTCTTTTAATACAAGCTCGCTGTAACAAGGTAAAACTTTGTCTACCAAGTCGAATCAAATATTACATCAAACTAAGTTTAAGTAGTCTGGCAAGTCGGCGAGGTTTACAATAATTCAAATCCTTTCAAAACCGACTCGAAGTTCTTGTGAGCCGCGGTTTCAAACTTACACCGATTGCTGTTCTGACTTAAGAT